ATGTATTCTGTGTCTTTCAGATGCCAATCTAGGAAGAGGTAATTGTTAAAAAATCAAATGTCAGTGAAACATACAAAATACACTTCCTAACCATCGTAGCTGTGCAACAACAGAAGTTTCCTTGGTTCCTTCACTGACAAATACTGCCTATTTTGTGCCAACAGCTGCTGGATTTGGAGATTCTAGCAATGACTAAGACCCTGCCCTTATGTGGCTTACCCTCCAGTGAGAGAAATAAGCAAGCAAACTACACTAATTCCAGGGTCTGATAAGTATCCTGATGGAAGGAAACCAGGCTTTTGTGACAGCCAAGGGGAGGGATGTGAAGCTACGAAAGATAGAACATCCAGAAAAAAGTATCTCTGAGGAGGAGATATATAAACCAAGGCTTGAGAAACAGACAGAAGGTGTCTATGCAAAGAAAAAGGGCAACAGTAAGTGGAAATGCCCCATAAATACAAAGTATCTGAGAATAGTAAGAAAGCACTGTGACTGAAGCAAGGTAATGAAAGTTTTTTTTTTTTTTTTTAAAGGAGATGCAAGCAATAACCACACTATGTAGAGTAATGGTTTTCATCAACTTTAACAGCCTATTAGACTAACTGCATCAAAATTTCTGTGGAGCCTACACATCAGTATTTGTTTTGTGTTTAATAATTTAATAGTCTTCCAGGTGATACTAATATACTGCCTGGGATGAGAATCACTGACATTGACTGTTAGGCTACAATAAGGAATTCTGGGATTGAGCCCCACATCGGGCTCCTTGCTCCGCGGGAGATCTGCTTCTCCCTCTCCCACTTGGGATCATGACCTGAGCCGAAGGCAGACGCTTAACCATCTGAGCCACCCAGGAGCCCCATGGATTTTATTCTTAACATAAGAGTGAGCCCACTGAAGAATTAAGAAGGAAACTAGTAAGACTAGTTTTATTTTTAAAAGATCACTCTGGTTGTTAGGGGAAGAAGCAAAGGGGCAAGAACAAAAAAACTCAATACTGAAAGCTTTAAGAGATTGAGTGGAGGGAGTGGAGGCGTAACAACTAGATGGTGATGGCCAAATTCCAAAAGCCTGATTTTTCAACACACTGAACAGTCAATAGGTACAATCAGAGCAGAGAGAAAAGAAAACCTACAAAAAAGCGGGCAAGCGTAAACTCCTCCAAAATACTTTACCCTTCTGACTGTGAGAATCATTTGACTACATAAGGGATTTGTTTATACTCTTCTTACATTACCACCATATATAAATTATGTACCTAAAGATTTGTTCTTTCAACAGCATTTCAAACAAAGACAAAGAATACTATTTACAATTTAAAAATGTTATCTTCAAATGACCTAAAATCTAACCTGCAAACCTATTACAGTTACATTTACTAGTGTAAAGGTAAAGTTTCAAGTTGTTTTTACTTCACGTGGAAAAAATTGTTTCTTTCATACTAAATAATAATAAATTGATATGTTCAAAAAATAATAATAAATTGATATGGAAATACAGCAATAAAAATGTTTACTAATTAAAAAATATTTATAGCTTACAAAAAGATATACCATGCTCATGGATTAGAAGATTAATATTCTTAAAATGTCATACTACCCAAAACAATCTACAGATTCAGTGCAATCCCCATCAAAATACCAATGGCATTTTTCACAGAGCTAGAACAAAGCATCCTAAAATCCACAAAAGACCCCAAATAGCCAAACCAATATTAAGAAAGGATTAAAAAAACATGGTATTACACTTCTTGATTTCAAACTATACTACAAAGCTATAGTAATCAAAACAGTATGGACTGGCACTAAAACAGACACACAGATCAATGGAATAGAACAGAGCGCCCAGAAATAAGCACACACGTATCCAGTCAATCTAGGACAAAGAAGACAAGATTATACAATGAGGAAAAGACAGTCTCTTCAATAAATGTGTTAGAAAAACTGGAGAGCTATATGCAAAAGAATGAAACTGGACCATCTTACACCATATACAAAAATAAACTCAAAATGGATTAAAGATTTGAATGTAAGACCTGAAACCATAAACTCCTAGAAGAAAACATAGGCAGTAAGTTCTCTGACATCAGTCTTTGTAATATTTTTTTGGACTAGTCTCCTCAGGTAAGAGCAATAAAAGCTAAAATAAATATGATTACATCAAACTAAGAAGCTTTTGCACAGTGAAGAAAACCGCCAACAAAATGAAAAGGCAATCTACTGAATGGGAGAAGATATTTGAATCATACATCTGATAAGGGGTTAATACCCAAAATACATAAAGAACTTACACTCTCAAAAACTATCAAAAATAACCTGATTAAAAAATGGGCAGAGGACCTGAGCAAACCATAATGAAATATTGCCTCATACCTGTCAGAATGGCTAAAATAAAAATGACAAGAAATAACAAGTGTTGGTGAGGATGTGGAGAAAAAGAATCCCTCATGCACTATTGGTGGGGATGAAAACTGGTGTAGAAGACAGTAAGGGAGGTTCCTAAAAAAAATTAAAAATAGAAATAGCATATGATCCAGTAATTCCACTACTGGGTATTTATCCAAAGAAATAAAAAAACACTAATTTGTGGGACACCTGGGTGGCTCAGTTGGTTAAGCATCCAACTTTTGATCTCAGCTCAGGTCTTGATCTCAGGGTTGTGAGTTCAAGCCCCACACTGGGCTCCATGCTGGGCGTGGAACCTACTTAAAAAACAACAAAACAAAACCACAACAAAACACTAATTTGAAAAAATATATGCACCCCTGTTTACTGATTATTATTTACAGTAGCCAAAATAAGGAAGTAACCCAAGTGTCCATACATAGATGAATGGATAAAGAAAACATGGTATGTATGTACGATGAACTATTACTCAGCCATAAAAAAGAGTAAGATCTTTTCACTTGCAACAACATGGATGGACCTAGAGGGTATAACACTGAGAAATAAGAGAAAGACAAACACCATATAATTTCACTCATATGTGGACTTTTAGAAACAAAACAAAGAAAAAAGACAAAAAAAATACTCTTAAATACAGAGAACAAACTGGTGGTTGCCAGAGGAGATTGGGTAGGTGGATGGGTGAAATAAAGAAAGGGGAGTAACAGTACACTTGTCATGATGAGCACTGAGTACTATATAGAACTGCTGAATCATTACATTGTATACCTGAAACTAATAACACTGTATATTAATTACACTTTAATTAAAAAAAAGGGGGGGCGCCTGGGTGGCTCAGTTGTTAAGCGTCTGCCTTCGGCTCAGGTCATGATCCCAGGGTCCTGGGATTGAGCCCCACATCGGGCTCCTTGCTCCGCGGGAGATCTGCTTCTCCCTCTCCCACTCCCCCTGCTTGTGTTCCTGCTCTCGCTCTCTCTCTGTCAAATAAATAAAA